CAACAGAGAGCCCAATGAGGCTTTGCCCTAAAAACAAACCAAACAATATTATAAACTGTAGACATAACTTCGTAAAACTAGAAATTGGAAAACGTTGTACTTTTCTTTCTACTGAAAGATATTTTTGACCACCAGAAATTACATACCTAGTTATAAAACTGAATTTTAAGAGGACAATTAGACATAAAAAAATACGATAAGTTAAAAGAGCTTGTTAAAAATTCTCAAATAAATATTTGTGTCAGCAATTAGTTTGTTTTTGAGAAAAACTCCCCAAACTTTGTTCCATATACACAAGATTGTATACGTTTCTAATTTTCTATTTCTCACTTTTTGTTTGCATCTTCAGAATTCGACAGTCAATTATAATAAACGTTTTAAGGATTTCAGATAAATAGTTTTATAAAATATACAGACTATAGTCACAACTTACAGACTTCGTGACAAGTTTTAAGCCATTAAAAAAACAGATTAAACACGTCTTTAAAACTTTTACTAAGTTCTTAATTTTTTTTCATTTTCTTACATTCTCTTTCTTCTAATGTCTAATGACGCTTGCTAGGCCTTATTTTAAATACTGTCAAAATGAAGTTTTAATCCACAGAGTACAGGTAATGGCATCTTATACAATATTTGTTTCAATCTTCTGTCAAATCACTTAAAACTAATACCCGCCGCAGATGTTCGGACATTCGTAATGATGGATGTTTTTGTTCGAACCCCATCTGTAACATTATATACCTCCAACGTTTCGTTTCCTTTTTTATTCATTCTCAGATCTAACCCCATCTGTAACACTATATACCTCCAACGTTTCGTTTCCTTTTTTTTTCATTCTCAGATCTAACCCCATCTGTAACACTATATACCTCCAACGTTTCGTTCCTTTTTTTTTTCTTTTCATTATCAGATCGAACCCCACCTGGAACGCTATATACCTTCAATGTTTCGTTTCGTTTCTTTTCTTTTTTTTTCATTCTCAGATCGAACCCCACCTGGAACGTTATATGCCTTCAATGTTTCGTTTCTTTTCTTTCTTTTTTTTTTCATTCTCAGATCATTCAATAAAAGTTCTTCGTTGGGACAACGGTAAGCTTACGGTCTTACAACGCCAAAATCCGGGGTGGATTCGATTCCTCGCTGTGGACACAGCAGATAGTCTACTGTGGTTTTGCTCTAAAACAAACATATAAACATATTTGTCATTACAAGTTCATGTTTAACTGAAAGATGTTATATATTTAATTGGCAGGACAGTGAGAGGAAGATTGAAGGCCGCATTTTTACATTATTCTATTCCTTTCGAACTCTTCGTTTCCTTCCGTTCTTCTGTTATGCCAGACTTTCATCCTTGCGGCTCAAACTTTAACAATATTAGTACTGAAATTTTCGAATCGCTTCTATTTTAACTTCATCTGTCTCTGTTAAGAAGTATAAGTTCTGGATTGATAATTAAGAAAAACTGTTCAATAAATATTTGTTTGACGAAAAACTTCTCACTTATATTTCATTGAATAAATATTTACGAATATTGATTTTTTTCGTTGCAAATAAGTGTAAGAACTAGAAACGCATAGTTGTGGATATTACATCTTTCCGTTCTTGACTTGATAGTCAGTAACAAAAATTAGCTAGTCAAAAGAACTCTCAGGCCATACTTTCCGAGTTTGTCCATCACTCTTATAGTGTACCCCCTAACCCAAAGTGCGGAGCCTGATATTTTTATGGGGGAGAAGTTTATGGTAACGGGACGCGAACCACGGAACATTCTGCTGTAAAATCCTATATGTTAACCATTGGACCACGTTCGGACCAGCAAAGATCATGATCCACCTCATCACGAGATCGTTATAAGTATCTATGGTGGACTTTTATAAGTATCTATAGTGTACTTTTATAAGTATCTGTGGCGTACTTTTATAAGTATCTGTGATGTACTTTTATAAGTATCTGTGGTGTACTTTTATAATTATCTGTGGTGTACTTTTATAAGTATCTGTGGCGTACTTTTATAAGTATCTGTGATGTACTTTTATAAGTATCTGTGGTGTACTTCTATAAGTATCTGTGGCGTACTTTTATAAGTATCTGTGATGTACTTTTATAAGTATCTGTGGTGTACTTTTATAAGTATATATGGTGTACTTTATAAGTATCTGTGGTGTACTTTTATAAGTATCTGTGGCGTACTTTTATAAGTATCTGTGGCGTACTTTTATAAATTGATTATTTACATTACACTCTTTAGATTTAATTTGCACTAAATCTGTTATTTTCATTTTAGACAAATGAAAATATGTTATTTAATTTATTACTGATTTCAAAAACTATCTTGTAGTTTAGTACGAGGTATGGAGGAACAAATCCCCCATTTTGGTGCCTCGCTACTTTCGTACCCTGAAAATCCAGATCGTGATTTTACTGCAATGGGACGCAAACAATGAACCCTTGGATTCGTAGTCCAGGCACACTAACTACTAGGACGCGTTCTATCCTTGTAAGGAAGTCTAACCCTAATCTACTATGAAATAATATCTCAAATTAATTAATTGACAACTGTATACATGTATGCTTTCAAATTGTTGATATCAATATATGTATGCATCTACCATAAAGAATGAAGTGAAAAACAGACAAAATTTTAAAAAATCATAACATGAAAATTTACAAAAATATCTCATAATATCGTAAAAGTAACCAGAGACAATAACTCCCCATTTGTGGACGCAAGGAGCATAAATAACAAAACGAACTGCTTTTTTGTGTTGGTGTTTTAAAAACTGACGTAATGTTTGTTCAGACAGATATTATTTACTTATTATTAATCACCAACTTATTTTTGTGTTCCTATTAACATCAGCAGTTGCATCATTCAGTATGCGTGAATATAACTTTAACTAATAAATCGTTGCAGTTAATGTTATCCTGATAAATGGTTATGCATATAAAAGGTCAAAACGTTGATATCTACAAAAATAAAGGTGTTTCAGGTTAGAGTAGTAGGCTTATAAAGAAAAATAATAGTCAAATATATAATAATTTCGTCGTCTTTTTTAGACAAATTTAATACTATATGTTATAAGATTTATTTTTATAACACTTAAATTCTTCTTTCAGTACGATAGTTTGTACAATAGGAAGACATACTAATAATAGTTTAAAATAATTTAAATGTTGACTCTTCTGTAAAATGGAAACATTTGCATTAAATTATTAATGTTGTCAGTAGGTTTAAAGTATACAGATCAAAGAAATTACAACTATCAGAGCATTATTAGAACGTAGTACATTATTAGAGCGTAGTATATTATAATCATATTCTCAGTGCCATACTTTACTGTATACATACAATAATTTTAATATTTTAGTTAAATACAAAGCTGTTTGATGAAAAGCTTACATTCTAGACAAATATAAATGTCACATGGTTTGTAAAAGATAGAGAAAATAAGACAATACTATAAAAAACTGAATAAAGTCCACGTGTTTTATACGAAACGATTTTAAATGAACGTCATATTCAAACCTTATCGTCAAAACTGCTAAGCAACGGTATATATACCTATTATACGGTCACGTACGTTACTTTTAAACTTATAACACACTAACCAGTGGATATTCATAGATTCACATTACACCATTGTTCGATATCAAAGTGTTAAATGAAGACTATTAAATTCATTTTTAAAACGTATACATTTCAAATAGCCAACTTAAAAGTTTATAATACATTTTCTGCCACTGGTTATGTTCACCCTTGGTTTTTCACCTTTATTATAGAACAAATATTATACGTACTGCTCTTTACCTCTGAAAATTATTTTTATGGAACATAATAACAGACATGAAAACAAAGGCTTTAATTTAAAAAATAAAAACACTTTTAATGTACCAAACTACACACGTTGTTTCTTGTCTATGTGCTTGTTTTCTCTGTAAACTACACACGTTATTTCTTTTCTACGTACTTATTATCTCTGTAAATTACACATGTTGTTTCTTTTCTACGTACTTATTATCTCTGTAAACTACACACGTTGTTTCTTTTCTACGTACTTATTATCTCTGTAAACTACACACGTTGTTTCTTTTCTACGTACTTATTATCTCTGTAAACTACACACGTTGTTTCTTTTCTACATTATCTCTGTAAAATACACACTTGTCCTTTTGTATGCAATTAGCTCTTTAAACTACACACGTTGTTTCTTTTCTACATTATCTCTGTAAAATACACACTTGTCCTTTTGTATGCAATTAGCTCTTTAAACTACACACGTTGTTTCTTTTCTACATTATCTCTGTAAAATACACACTTGTCCTTTTGTATGCAATTAGCTCTTTAAACTACACACGTTGTTTCTTTTCTACGTACTTGTTTTCCCTGTAAACTACACACGTTGTTCCTTTTGTACGTAGTTATCTCTGTAAACTAGACGTGTTTTCCTCTTGTGTGTAGTTATATCTGTAATACATTCGTGTTGTTTCTCTGTAGCCTGCACATGCTCTTCCTTATATATGTAGTTATCTCTAAACTACACATTTATCCTTTTGTATGTAGTCATATCCGTAAATTGCACATGTTTTCCTCTTGTGTGTAGTTATTTCTGTAGACTACACGTTTTTCGTTTTGTATGTAGCTATATTTGTAAAGTACACGATTTTCTTTTGTGTGTAGTTATCAAGTAAACCCCACATGCTGTTCATTTTGTGTGGAGTTATCTCTGTAAACCCCACATGTTGTTCATTTTGTGTGTAGTTATCTCTATAAACTACATATTTCATAAAAATGCTATCTTTTTGATTCAGCTAGTATTTAAAATAGCATGTAAAGTTTATCTTTATAATTGTGAAAAATTAAATAAATAACATATAAGTTTTAGTCTTTTTTTTAACTGGCTAAACTTTCTAAAATTGTATTTTTGATAACGTGAGTTTTGTTTTGTAATTTGGTAAGAATATGAATTTCAGGTAGTAACAGCTGTTTGTTTTTATTACAGCTTCGGAAGTCGTGAAGTAGCAAGCAAAGAAAATGGTGTATGTGTATTATTACAGCAAGTCCACTCAGCAACCACACTCAGGCTATACAACGTATGCTAGCAATACATGGGCCATGTATTAAATATTCGATCAAAACTTCGTTTTCAAGGTAAATAAAACATTCCGCAACATATCAAATAATGTCTTCAGAAAGGTAGTGAATTTCAAGTTTCTAGAGTAACGAGTTACGTTTTTCTTGATTTGAAAATGGCGTTTCGAACTGAAAGTGTCGCAGATACTCATTTCGAACGTCGCCTTTAGTCATTCGAAGGCACACAAAGCCCCTTACCCTATCCATTACTCGCTATCTGTAATTTACTTGAAATAAATTCCTTCACTTCTTTCTTTGTTATTAGTGATGTATTGTTTCCATTCAATGCAACAAAGTAAAACAACACGTCAACAATCGCAAACGTATACTGTCATTTTTTTGGGGTTATGCTAAAACTGAACGTCATCAGTGAAGTATAGCAATGGATTATTACATGTTAACAATTTAACAAAGCTAAATTTCTGTTGATGTTGCTTTTTATATGTTTACTTTTTATTCGAAAGAATATTTTGTCTCGTTGTTGTATTTGAGCAGTCTTTGATTGGATTGAGTTGAAAGGTGTTTGGTTTCCAAAATAATATTCAAGTTAAAATGTGACGATTTACCAAATATCAGTATAAATTACACGAAAATATAAACATTATCAGTTTTCGTAATTGGTGAATTACGTATTTTTAGCCTTTGCGATGAACCTTAAGAACGTTATCAAAAATGTATTTATGCCTGTCTTTGGAAGCCAAACTAAAGCTTAATACGATACAATAAAGTTTAAATCCACATTAACTGAACAATACCAAATTTAAATTGAAACAAGTTTCGGCATTTCACGTGTCCTCTTCAGTCCAACATTGATCAGAAGAAGGCATATAAAATGTTTAAATTAGTCTCCATTAATATTTGATATTGTTACGTTTGTGTGGATTTAAGTGTTAGCGTAAATTAATTTACACGGTATTGTGTATTAACTTATTATTATAAAGATTTGTTTGTTTGTTTCAGAATTTCGCCCATTGTTATACAAGAGCTATCTCCGCATAGCTAGCTCTAATTTTAAACTGATATAAAAAAGAACATTTAAAGCATATCATGTAGATTAGATCTTTAAACAAAACAATACTTGTCATCAAAACCAAGTACAAGTTTTAGAAAATTGGGTTTAGCGTAAGCCGCGGATTAGTTTGGGTGCTTGTATACATATTTGTTTATATGATTTTTGTAACATATAAACTCCGTATCAAGAGTGTGTAAGTAAAGTCGTTCTGTACCGTAGTACACAAGTAATTGCATGACTTCTATAAGCAGTTCAAAACATTTGGTTTTCAGTAAACAGATGAACTAAAAATAGCATGAAACGGAAAAGTCTTGAATATAACGTAGTAAACGCAATAGATTATGTTTGTTTAACAAAATGGTTAAACAGAAAACGGCTACCTCGGGTTCAAAAGTTTAAAAATAGAGATAAAACGGTGCACACATATGTATTTAAAGTTTCCTTAGAGTTGTTTCAACAAACATAAACTTAAAGTTTCCTTAGAGTTGTTTCAACAAACATAAACTTAAAGTTTCTTTAGTGTTGTTTCAACAAACATAAACTTAAAGTTTCTTTAGTGTTGTTTCAACAAACATAAACTTAAAGTTTCTTTAGTGTTGTTTCAACAAACATAAACTTAAAGTTTCCTTAGTGTTGTTTCAACAAACATAAACTTAAAGTTTCTTTAGTGTTGTTTCAACAAACATAAACTTAAAGTTTCCTTTAGTGTTGTTTCAACAAACATAAACTGAAAGTTTCTTTAATGCTGTTTCAACAAACATAAGCTTAAAGTTTTTTTATTGTTGTTTCAACAAACATATTGTACAATAATAACAAAAACAAACAACATCAGTAACTGACAATATTTACCACTTCTCTTTCAAAATTGCAAGCATAATTTTCAGATTCTAAATGTAGGAGTTTGCGTTAGCTTAAGAAACATTACAGCATCTTCTGTAAGCTTGGAATAATGAGCGAATTAATCATGTTAACATGTAGATTAGTAGGATTAACATTGAATACGGATGATATTAGTACACTTCTCATATAGATTAGCAGGACTAAGATTCAACACGGGTGATATTAAAACACTTCTCATATAGATTAGCAGGACTAAGATTCAATACGGATGGTATTAATACACTTCTAATATAAATTAGCAGGACTAAGAGTCAATACAGATTATATTAGTACATTTCGTGTTATAGATTGGTAGGACTAAGATTCAATACGGATGATATTAGTATATTTCTTGTTATAGATTGGGAGGACTAAGATTCAATACAGATTATATTAGTACATTTCGTGTTATAGATT